CCTCTGTCTGCCAGCCACTTGCTCTCAGCTCCACCTTCGGACGAGTCCGTAGAGCCGAGTGGTCCGTACCCAGAGCTTGTGGGTTGCCTCGTGTACCTGATGACGTGCACACGACCTGACTCCGGCTCTGTTTCCTAGCGGTCTACCCGCTCGTCTTCGGTTCTCAGCTCCAGTTGTGAGGCTGAGATCTACGCTGGGGCCATGGCTGCACAGGAGCTATGTTGGCTCACCTACCTGCTGACTGATTTGGGAGAGCAGCCTCGTTCACCTCTAGTTCTGTACGTAGACAACAAGGCCATGATTGCCTTGTGTCAGGAGCACAGACTGGAGCACAGAACGAAGCATATCGCTCTGCGATACTTCCTTGCTCGAGAGTTGCAGCAGCGTGGCCAGTTTCGTCTTGCGTACGTGGCCACTAGGGCCAACACTGCTGATATATTCACCAAGGCACTTCCGCCTGGTGATCATCAGCGCATCTCGACTGTGTTAGGCCTTGTGCCTACTTTGCCTCACTTGCTCACTGCGTGACTTGCTTATACTGTGCTCTATATATATACCTGCATGCTTACACTTGCAAGGGTATGATCACTGTATTGTTTGTTCTTTTTGATATAACTTTGCATGTGAACTGGCCTTGTGGCCCTTTGCTTGTGCTCGGACTGTGTGGTGACTTTGTGATCCACCCTGAGCTTGTTTTGCTTTTCTTGATGGGTCTTGTGACCACTTGTTCTCCCCCACTTTGCCTATGGGGGTGTGTCAGAATGTTACAGTGCTTACATTTGTGTAGGCTATAGTGGGGTAGCCCATAAGGGGTACAACCCAATTAGGGTTAGTACTTGTACCCAACTATCTCAGTTCATTCATTCTCGTTCTTTCTTCTGACACGGGGATGCAGGAGCGGCTCGCGGGCTGCTAGGGGCGGCACGCGGGGCTGCAGGGGCGGGTCGCGGGCTACAGGGGCATTGCGCGGGCTGCAGGGGCGACGGGCGGGCCACAAGGGGCAGCGGGCGGGGCTGTAGGGGCAGCGCGCGGGCAGTAAGAGCGGCGCGCGGGGCTGCAGGGGCGGCTCGCGTGCGGCTAGGGGTGGCGCGCGGGGCTGCAGGGGCGGCTCGCGGGCTGCTAGGGGCGGCGCGACGGGCTGCAAAGGGCGGCGCGTCAGCCAGCAGAGCAGCGCGCTGGTAGGGCAGGGCGACAGGGCATTGCGTGGGGCAGCTCTGTGGTGGGCCAAAAAAAAAAACGGTCTTAGGGAAGGACCTGCTCTGAAACCATGTCAGAATACTGAACGAGAATGAATGAACTATGAAAGAGTTGGGTAAAAGTACTAGCCCTAATTGGGTTGTACCCCTTATGTGCTACCCCACTATAGCCTACACAAAGTAAGCAATATGACATTTTGACAATGATGGCGTGCTCGCCATTTGTCGCTGCAAATTCCACGTGCCGACGGGCTTCGCAAGGCTCCCGTGGGCTTGGTGCGGCCCTGTTCCTCTCCATGCCAGGCATTGATGGAGCGACGCCATCACTGGCTACGCTTGAGCATTGTCCCACGCTGCCGTTCTGTGTCGGTGTGCCTGATGAGATGACGATTGGCTCCTCCGATTGTGCAGGTGCATTCACCGTCGATTGCTGGCGAGCGGAGTCGTGTTCCGCCGTGAGTGTCGCAATTTCGAGTGCCGAATCTTCGAGTTGGCGCATGAGACGGTCGATCTGCTATTGCGTCAGTGTCGCGAGATTAATTTCAGCCATGGCGGGGGTGTCGGGCAAGCTCAGCGAGAGCCTCTGTCGTGGCCGTGCTTGCTTACGAGAAAGCACTTCGAGCGGCGGTGCTTGTTTCGCTAAGAGACGTCTACCCCCCCCCAAAATTGAGATTGTGGAGAAGCGAAGGTGTGGGTGCGGTCCGAGAAGAGATCGTAGACTCTGAATACCAAGTGTTACGAGTGCAATTGAGTGAGCGAGCGAGAATTGCACTATCGAAGCATGAGTACAATGAATTGTGGTGTACGCGCTGAGCAAGGACGCGCAGTAAGGGAAAGGACTTTTCCTTACACACCCTCATAAATGTTATCTCGTGCCAGAGTGCTTAGCGAGCTTCGTTATGATACAACTCTCGCAATTTCAAATCGTTGGGCCCAATCACACACAATGGCCATGCCCCGAAGTACACCGATTGTGCTCGGAGGCTTGAAATCACCTGAAACCCAAAGCAAACGCGCCCTTGAGTTCTGAAGCCAAGCCTTTCCCGCAAGTCAACCATTTTGCAGCGGCTTGAGAGAGGGTTCAACTGGCAGCATTGAAGGCTCAGAGTCGAGAATGCTGCAGGCCTCCGTATGTGTGAATTCAAGGTATCGAGACGCGAATCCTTCAGAACATCATGCAGTGCAGAGCAGACTCCTTCATTTTGCAGAATTCAAGGTATCGAGTCCAGACTAGAGTGCTTCAGATCAGACCAGACCATCATCATCGTAGTAACGCCTCTCACGATTTGCATTTTTTAAGACTAACGCCCCGCCATGGAAGCACGGCGATCGCGCGATTGGAGTTGACTTTTGAGCCGACTAAGGTCACCTTCTAAACTCACGCCCCGGCCCGTCATGATAGAAGCAATTGGCTCCGATCGCGCGATTGGACTTGGGAATGGTCGTAGCCTTGCTCTAGCAACGGAAGCATCACTGGGACAGCAGGGGCCCGGATTTCGGGCTCAAGCTCGGAATCGAGTTCGGGATCGAGATCAAACCGTTTGACAGCGGTGGGATTATTGAGCTTTCCCCGAATTTGGCTGGATTGGAGGAGGAGATTAGGGATTTTGCGGTATTGGAATGCGACACGGCGCTCAAAGGTCGTAGTGTATGGCGCTTCGGGATCGGACGGCGCCAGAAAAGCGGGTCTCGGGTCGCCTGAAAGGGCGAGGGGTGGGGCGAGTACGAGAAAATCGCGTCGATGGGTTTTCGGCTACTATGCGGGACCGCTTCTGGTGCTTCTCGTTATCGTGCTTCGCTTGCTCGCCAAAAACCAGGTGAGATCATCAGCTGCGCTGCTCGACGATGCAACCACCCTGGAGGAATCGTGGCCGTATATCTAGGCGTCATTCATGCCAAAGTGTTTTTTCGCCACTAACTAGTAACCATGTGAGTGCATCTGCGCTGCTTCGATTTTCAGGAGTCGTAGAAAACGAACGAAAGAGACGTACTAGTAGGGTAGTCATTGCCTCTTGTTTGTGCTTCGTTGAAGCCTCTCGCTGGCATCGACTATACTAATAGTAAACGGATGTCGATCCTCATGATGGTGACTGCGTTGCGCTCTGGGTCGACTCATCCTGAACGCGTCGCGAGTCAACTCATCCTGAACGCGTCTCGCATTTTTGATTCAGTGAGTCGACTCATCCTGAACGCGTCGCGAGTCGACTCATCCTGAACGCGTCCCGCATTGAGTCGACTCATCCTGAACGCGTCGCGCTCTGAGTCAACTCATCCTGAGCGCGTCGCTCTCTGAGTCGAATAAAAATATAAAAACAATAAATTAATTGCTCGCGAATCTAGTGAATGGATATGCGCGGAACTGCGTCGTGAACGCTTGCGCTTTGAGTAAATTCAAAACTATTATTTCACGTAATATTCAAAGATACATGGCGAGTTCATAGTTTAGTGTTTATCTCTCCCCCTACGTCTCCCTTGAAAAACGCACGACTTTCAATATATCCTGTTCATAGCCTAATTCCCTTCTTCGTGATTTTTTTTTGTTTTTACATTTGTGGTAAAGTGCTGGAATAAAACGTAGATAATATATTGTAAAACATGATTTATGTTGATATCAGTTGAAACAATACAGAAATTTCCAATTTTATGAACCCAACTTTTATAGATAGGCAGCCAGCATGTACCAACCATATCGGGGAAGTCAACCATTTCGCGGCAGGGAAGCGGATTTTGCATTTCGGCCCAGGCATTTCGTGGGAGCCAAGAAGTCAGATGTCGCAGAAGTTTTTTTTTTTCGCAGCAGGAGCCAATCGACGTCGCAGGAGGCAGGAATCGTCGCGAAAGCCAGAAATATGTCGCAGGAGCCAGGAGAGGTCGTAGAAGTCAGGAGAGGTCGCAGAAGCCAGGAGAGGTCGCAAGAGCCAGGAGAGGTCGCAGGAGCCACAAGCTGTCACACACCTGAGGATGTAGCAGCTGGTGGAGTCATCATCTCTGCTCAAAGCAGGTTCTTGTTCTCAGCCAACAATGGAGGTATTACTGTATCGATCGAGAATGCTTACTACTACCTTCTGTTTTTGTGTACTTCTACGTTCGTGTCTGTTTCTGGTAATCGTGTGAAGGCAGTATTGAACCGTCATAAGCCTCTGACAATTCACATTTCACGAGACGAGTCCGCATTTTCTGAGACTCACGCCCCGTCATGGAAACGCGTCGAGTCGGCTCTGATTGCGCGATTGGTTCCCGATCACGAGATTGGGATCGGGGACTGGATCGAATTGAGCTGGGATTAGGGATCTATCCGGGAATTTGGCTGCATTGTAGGAATATATTGGGGATTTCGCGATACGGGGATGGGACACGCTCAAAACCCGTAGTCGCGGGCGCTTCGGGATTGCACGGCGCCGGAAAAGCGGGTTTCTTGACGCCTGGATGCGAGAAAGGCGGCGGGACGAGTAGTACGAGAAAATGGAGGGCGTGGATGAGTGGCTATGCGGGACCGCTTTTGGTGCTTCTCAGCAGTGCCGTGTGTCATGTCGAGGTAATTACTTTGTTGTGTAACGTACGATGGCGTGGGGTGTAGCGTGGGTTATGTTATGTTTGATTGTGTAGCGTTACGAATCTGCGTGTAACGCTCAGTGAGTTATGTTTATTTCTGTAATGTTACAATGTTGTGTGTAATATATGGCAGGTTATGTTTATTTGTGTAACGTTATGATGCAGATGTAACGAGGGTAAGTTATGTTTTTTTGTGCAAGATTAAGATGCTAAATACTACGCTCAGGCAAGTTATATTTATTTGTGGAAACGATGCTCTGTGTAATATTCTGGTAAGCTATGTTTATTCATGTAATGTTATGATGCCGCGTGTAACGTTCTGGGTATGTTTTCTGTATTTGCCCAACGTTACGATGCTGTGTGTCTTAAGATGCCGTAATCGTTTTGGATTGACATCGCTCTGGTACACCACCAAAAACATGTGCGTATCCACAGCTGCAACCTCTCCTCACCTCCTGGACCACCCTTCATCCCCGAACCTCAGGCCTGGTTGGACAACTCCAAGGTTCGGAATCTCCCCAAATTGAAAAAGCTGCCTACAGTGGTTTGGGAGGAGGGTCCCCCCCGACCCGGGTGCATTCTCACTCTCGACTCGCGCTACAACCCTGAGGGGGTGCTGGCTGTGGAGGCGGCTGTAGCGCGGCTCCTGAGAGACCTGGGGGTGGAAGGGGAGGTTGTTGGGGGAGGGGGGATAGGGGGGGAGAGGATAGGGGGAGAAGGAATACGGGGAGAGGGGGTTGGAGGAGAAGGGATACTGGGAAAGGAAGGTGTAAGGGAAGGGGTGGGGAACGGGGAACAGGACGGCGGGAAAGGGAAGGTGGGGGGATGGGATGAGAGGGAGGTGGAGGAAGGGAAGTTGGGGAAAAGGGAGAGGCATGGGGAGGGTAGGTGGTATGGAGGACAGAGGAGGAGGCGGCTGAAGGGAGGAGAGGGGGCGGGGGATGGGGAGGGGGAAGGAGAAGGGAAGCGGGAGGGGAAGGAGGAGGGGGAAAGGAAGGGGGAGGGTAAGGGGGAAGGGGAAGGAAGGGGGAAGGTGAAAGGGGAGGAGGGGGGGGAGGGTGAGAAGGTGGCGGAAGAAGGAGCGGGAAGGGGCGTTCAGGAAATGCCTGAGAGATGGCGGAGGTTTTATGATGGGCTGCCTAAGATGATGGATGGAGATGGGAAGGAGTATGTGGGAAAGATGCCGATATGGGTCGCTCTGGCCGTCAACATGTGAGTACGTGGTACAGTGTCACGCAGTATCCGCATGCCCACCTCGGTGCGTTTGTGTGTACGAGTGTTTTACACTGTACCCCCATATGTGTGTACGTGTTACGACGTGTCCCATATAGTGATGAGGCTTTTAACACTTTAAGATGCTATTACTGTTGCCATGTCAACACGGGTGCAGTTCTGTGTCTGGGAGAACGAGTCAACTCGGTCTATGCTAGACAACTTCGTTTTGCTTCCTATTGGCTGGTGGTGGAGAACGGGTCAACTCGGTCAACGCAAGTCAATGTGACTTTCCCTTCTCCATCCCTTCCATCCTCTCTGTCAGGCTCAGGCTGTACGTGCGGCGGCATGGGTATCAGCTGGTGGTGGAGAATGAGAGTCAACTCGGTCAACGCAAGTCAATGTGACTTTCCCTTCTCCATCCCTTCCATCCTCTCTGTCAGGCTCAGGCTGTACGTGCGGCGGCATGGGTATCAGCTGGTGGTGGAGAATGAGAGTCAACTCGGTCAACGCAAGTCAATGTGACTTTCCCTTCTCCATCCCTTCCATCCTCTCTGTCAGGCTCAGGCTGTACGTGCGGCGGCATGGGTATCAGCTGGTGGTGGAGAATGAGAGTCAACTCGGTCAACGCAAGTCAACGTGACTTCACCACTTCCATCCCCTTCGTCCCCCCTCCTCTGTCAGGCTGTACGCGCGGCAGCATGGGTATCGGCTGGTGCTGGAGAACAGGTCAACATGGTCAACGCAAGTCAACGCGATTTACCCTCTTCCATCCCCTTCGTCCCCCCTCCTCTGTCAGGTTGTACGCGCAGCGGCATGGGTATCGGCTGGTGGTCGAGAACGAGTCAACTCGGTCAACGCAAGTCAACATGATTTTCCTTCTTACACCTCCCTCTCTGCCAGGTTGTATGCGAGACGGCATGGGTATCGGCTGGTGGTGGAGAACGAGTCAACTCAGTCAACGCAAGTCAACGTTAATCTCCCACATCCATGCTATCCCTCTGCCTCTGCCAGGTTGTATGCGAGACGGCATGGATATCGGCTGGTGGTGGAGAACGGGACAAAATACACTCAGGATAGACATCCCTCGTGGTTCAAGGTGAGCCCGTCACTCGTGGTGGAAGGCCAGCAGTACTTAAAGAAGCGCTCTTAACAAGTAAGAGAGAGTGAAAATTCCGTCATTCTCTTAGCTAAGAGAACTCTGACCGCAGTAACTGTATTCACTCAAGGGAACAGGAGCTGTCGAAGTGGAACAGGAGCTGTCGAAGTGGAACAGGAGCTGTCGAAGTGGAACAGGTCGCAAACATGTTTCGGCAAGGCGGGAAAAACCTGTCAAGCCTTCATCAGTGCTTGAGATGAGAACAAATGAGATCTACGGCTAGGTATGAAGGTGAGAGTCAAGGAGGTGAGGACAGCACCCAGCATAGGCACCCCTCAGGATAGGCACCCCTGAGGATAGGCACCCCTCAGGATAGGCACCCCTCAGGATAGGCACCCCTCAGGATAGACACCCCTCAGGATAGGCACCCCTCAGGATAGGCACCCCTCAGGATAGACACCCCTCAGGATAGGCACCCCTCAGGATAGGCACCCCTCAGGATAGACACCCCTCAGGATAGGCACCTCTCAGGTTAGGCACCCCGCCCTTCTATGCAGGTATATTAGAGTCACTCCCGAGAATTCTCAACTGCATAGCCCCCATCGACCGCATTGACTGCATTGACTGCATTGACTGCATTGACTGCGTTGACTGCGTTGACTGCGTTGACTGCGTTGACTCTTCCCTGCTCTCCTTTGCAGATACCATTTCTGCAGGATCAACTGGCATGCTGCTGCCAGTGGGACTACTTTTCGACTCAGATGCAAACATGCGAATGAAATGAACCACCACCGCATCTTTTGAGTCGACTAAAACATCACCTTTTCATTACTTCTCTTTCGCTGCAGGTACCGTTTCTGCAGGAGCAATAGGCGTTCTGCTGCCAGTGGGCTTTCTTTCTCGACTCAGACGCCTGCATTGCTTGTTGATCCCTGCTATCTCCTGCCTCTCCCATGCAGATACCGTTTCTGCAGGAGCAATTGGCGTGCTGCTGCCAGTGGGCTTTCTTTCTCGACTCAGATGCCTACATGCGAATGAACCACCACCGCCTCTCCATTGAAGCTTGGATTCAAACCATTAAGCAACCTGTCGGTGCATTCTCGTCCCATCATGCTCGTCCCATCATTCTCGTCCCATCATGCTCGTCCCATCATTCTCGTCCCATCATGCTCGTCCCATCATGCTCGTCCCATCATGCTCGTCCCATCATGCTCGTCCCATCATGCTTGTCCCATCATGCTCGTCCCATCATGCTCGTCCCATCATGCTCGTCCCATCATGCTCGTCCCATCATGCTCGTCCCATCATGCTTGTCCCATCATGCTCGTCCCATCATGCTCGTCCCATCATGCTCGTCCCATCATGCTCGTCCCATCATGCTCGTCCCATCATGCTCGTCCCATCATGCTCGTCCCATCATGCTCGTCCCATCATGCTCGTCCCATCATGCTCGTCCCATCATGCTCGTCCCATCATGCTCGTCCCATCATGCTCGTCCCAACAACCTCCTGCCTACATTCCGTAGGCCTTTTTTGTCGACTCAGGTGCCTGAATCTGCTTGAGTGTAGAACGGCCCATCTTCATATTTGAAACATGCTGCGTGTCAAACTTCGTGGATCGTGTTTCCTGAGTCGACTCAAAATGAGCCGTGTTTTGAGTCAACTCAAAACACGGCTTATCTTTGTATTTGAAACATGCTGCGTGTCAAACTTCGTGGATTCTGTTTTTCCAGGCTGCCTGTTCAGTTCCAAGTGTGTTCCAAGGGAACTGTGTATTTGCGTTTATATGCTAGCTTATGAACGCAGTACACTCTCCCTGCTAAGGGTGTTTTCCAGCTTAGACTCTCACGTGGCTTTAACTAACAGATTCTTGTGCCTCTCATGTCCTTGTATGCCCCTTCCATCAGAATTATTTCGATTGGCTGTTGAAGGCTAACCGTACGGAATCACTGGAGGGACAGGTGTGGGTCCCACAAGACCCAGCCCTGCTGCTACAGCCGACCAACGCGCTACAGCCGGAGGGCCCTGTGGTTCTGTTACCACGGAATGGGGACCTGGGAGCGGGGTTTGAGGGGGGCGTTGGGACGCTGTTTAAGGAGCAGACGAATTTCATCAACGCGGGAGTGATGCTTTGGCGGAGGTCGCGAGATAGCTTCAAGGTTGGTCTATCATTTCTTCATTTGATCATCTTCATTGGCTTGCTCTTCTTTCCACGAGGAAAATACTTGTTCCTCTGTTCCATGCAGTCTTTCGCCAGTGATACAATGTACGTGAAGGTGAATACGAGCTGTATCATCGCGTGTGGAAGCAGGCAAACCTGAGTGTTGAGTCGGCTGAGGAGTCACCTCATCCTGTTGTTCCCATCCCGTCCCAATGTCTCCCGCACTTCCATCAGCAATGGTACATTACATTGTGAATGAAGGCGAGTACCATCACGTTTGGGAGCAGGCAGACCCGACTTTTGAGGCGCCTCACAAGTCGTTCCCCCCTCCCATCCCCTTGCCTCCTGCAGTTCTATCAGCAATGGTACAATGTGCGAGACGGTGAATACGAGCTATACCATCACGTGTGGGAGCAGGCGAATCTGAACAACGTCGCTCGGGAACCAGAGTGGAGGAGGAAGGTACTCGTCGTGCCATATGCCGAGCTTACAGGCCCGCAGGGAGCGTTTGTTCGGCATGTGTGGGGTGGGTTGCCAGACGGAGAGCACGGCCGGGTGGTGGTTGAGGCGTTGGAGGAGGCACTGGGGTCTCTGCATAGTGGAGGGGGAAGTTGATAATCGTCCCATACGTGGAGCTAGGGGTCTCCGCAGAGTGGAGGCGGAAGGTGATAGTCGGATAGTCGTGCGATATGCCGAGCTTACATGCTCTCAGGGAGAGTCTGTTCGGCATGTGTGGGGTGGGTTGCCTGAGGGAGAACACGGTCGGGTGGTGGTTGAGGCATTGGAGGAGGCACTGGGGTTTCTACAGAGTGGAGGGGGGAGGTGATGTCAAACTATATGTTTGTGTTCTCTCTAGGCTATAGTGGGTTAGCCTACAAGGGTGTCAAGAATGAAAGTGTTGGTTTGACTAGGGTTGGTTGGGGTACATAAACCTAACCCTAATAGTTGTACCCCCTATAACATACATCACTTAGACTACAACATTTGACACACCCCCATAGTCTAAGTGAGGGGTGTCAAGCAAAACCAAAAGTGTACGGTCACAAGACCAGTCACAAAGAAACAAAGCTCAGGGTGGATCACGACGTCACCACACGCTACGAGCACAAGCAAAAGAGCCACAAGGCTAGTTCAAGAGTTCACAGAGGTATATGTTAAGTGTATAAACAAAGCAAGGAGAGGATTCAACACTATGCAAGGCGAGAACCTGTGTCAACGAGACCTAACTGCACACAACACCTCTGGTGGTCACAAGGTGGCAGGGCCTTGGTGAAGATGTCTGCAGTGTTGGCCTCGGACTCAACAAAGTCGAAACGAGCCTGTCCACGCCTCTGCAACTCTCGCAGAAGAAAGTACCTGACGTTAATGTGCTTCACTCTGCTCTCCAGTCGCGGCTCTTGACAGAGGAGAATCGTCGCCTTGTTATCAGTGAACAAGGTCGGCGCAGAGCTCGGCCGTTCACTAAGGTCAGTGAGCAAGAACGTCAGCCAGCGCAGCTCCTGTGCAGCCATAGCTCCAGCGTAGATCTCGGCCTCAGCAGTAGAGGTCGAGACCGAGGAGGAACGTGTGGACCTCTACGAAACAGCTCTAGAGCCCAGGCTGAAACAGTACCCCTGAGTAGACCTGTGCGTCTCGGCGTCGTCAGCGTAAGAAGAGTCACAGTGACCAGTAAGCACGACGTCCTGTCTCCCTCCAAGAACCAGCCCCACGCCTGATGTCGTCGCTAGGTACTTCGCCACCCTCACAGCACCTGTCCAGTGAACTGGACGGTGTCTCCCTGGCGCAACAAAGCGAGCAAGGATGCTGCGAGGGAAGGCGAGGTCCGGGCGAGTACAAGTCATGTCACCAATATATAATGGTAAGAACAATATATTTTGCTGCATGCTAGGAAGAGTGTAGATGGGTGTATAGTTGGGTTATGTGACTCTAGCATGGGGGATTGCTTGGGCCAGGGGAATGACGCGAAGTTGGTGGCCTGGGGATTTGGGGACATTGGGAAGAGGACCAAAGTGCCTCGAGGGAAAGGAAATCTGCATTGACCAATAAGGGCCACAGGCGACCCGAACCCAACTCAAGGTGGTGGCAACTGCCTAGACTCAAAGTGGGAATAAAGTAGCCTAGCCTAGCCAACTGAACCTGTTCTCTTGCTTTGTTTGCTCACTATAGTGGATTTACTTCACCAGTCTAAGGCTACGGCAGCTAGGTGATACGCCACTAAGGGCAGCCAGCTTGTGGGAGCAGGAATCTCTCACAAAGCGAGAGAACAGCTTACCGGCGACATGGATCGCCACGATCTGCGCGTGCATCGTACATACTCACGGCGGGAACGATCTCCGTCGCGGATGAGGCGCTCGAGGGAGCGTGGGAGATCGCCGACGCGCTCGCCACGACGGGCGGCGTATCGGGCGGATCCGGTGACGCCGATGGGCGTGCGAAGAGAAGAAAGCGGGGAAGATCTGCGCATCAGGTCAGAACCGTGGAGGCGGCCCGTGATCAGCGACCCGTGGAACCTGGCAGGAGGCCAGCGCGGGATGGATGGACGGCGTCGCGAAGGCGACGTGGATGTGCCCACTACGAGCAAGCAGGGTGATGAGGAGGAAGGGGAAGAGCCCCAGCCTGCTCGAGGCAGCAGAAGGCGCGGCATCGCCGGCAACGACGGTTCCCCCACTGCGCGGGGCGGCGGAAGGCGCGTCATCGCCGACGACGACGGTTCCCCCACTGCGCGGGGCGGCGGAAGGCGCGACATCGCCGACGACGACGATTCCCCCACTGCGCGGGGCGGCGGAAGGCGCGACATCGCCAACGACGACGGTTCCCCCACTGCGCGGGGCGGCGGAAGGTTCGACATCGCCGACGACGACGGTTCCCCCACTGCGCGGGGCGGCGGAAGGCGCGACATCGCCGACGACGACGGTTCCCCCACTGCGCGGGGCGGTGGAAGGCGCGACAGTGCCGTCAATGGGGAGAATTTCCCTGTTGCGCGGGAAGAAGGAAGGCAAGGGTGCAAGAAAAGGGATGAAGGGAAGCGAGTCCGATGTGGGAAGGCGCGAAAGGATGGCGAAGAAGACAGGAATGGAGAGCGCTCACCTGCTGGGCGGCGCGAAGAGATGACGCGAAGGAGCGTCAGGGGAGTGGAGCGCCAAATGGGGGCACGCCAAGAAGAGGAAGAAGGAAAGAGGGCGTCAGCAGGTGTCTTCCGCTCGCCTGAGCCGAGGCCAGGATATAACCGTAGACGGCGCATGGCGACGGCGAGCAGATTGGGAAAAGTGAGAAGACGAGCAGGACTACGAGGAGCGACGCCAGCAAAGCCCGCCTGGGTGGGAGCGGGGGCGCCACGGAGAAGGACGAGAAAGGGGCCGGGGAAGGCGATCACCGCACGGCTCCAGAGCAGAAGGAGGAGGTCAGAAGCGAAGGGAGCAAGAGCGGCATCGCCAAGAACGTTCTCCTGTGCAAAGAGATAGACAATGGGAAGATCAAGAAAGGTACAAGAGAGACCGCGAAGAAAACCAGAGGAGAAGCCCGAGTCCAATTGGAACTAGGAGGCTGCGGCAACATGGAGAGGGATCGAGCGGGGCTAGAGCGGCTCGTGAGGGGTTGGAACGAGCACTGTACGGGATCAGCGCAGGAAGCAGAGGAGAAAAAGGAAAGCAGCGGGGGGCTGCTCTATCAGATCGGGGAGGATCTGGGAGCTGGGATATGGGGAGGTGGGGCGCGACGGCAGCGCCATGGGTGGAGGTGCCGGTACGCTTCACAGGGAATGAGAGCACAGGCCCGAGCCTCAAGAATTACCTGATGCAGATAAGCAACGTTAAGTACCGGTGTGATCGGAGCGGGATGGATCCCATAGACTTCTTCCTAAGCCTGCCAAACACGCTGGGGGGGGAAGCAGAAACCTTGTATCGCATGAAGATGGGGGAGTGGCTGAGAAGAGCAGATGAGGAAGAGGAGGACCCGACGGTGCTGTTCCTGGAGCGGCTGAGGAAGCAATTCCCTGGGCATACAGCAGCACGCATCAAAGATTTTCAGGAGTTCAAGAGGAGGGACGAGGAATCCGTGCTGACGTATTATGGGCGATTGATGAATCTAGCGGAAGACGTGGTGTGCACGGACAACAGTATGATCATTAGTAAGTTTCTTAATGGGTTGGACAAGGGACTGGCTGGAGGACTGAGAATGAGAGTCTATGAGCTAGGAGCGGACGCAACACCTGAGGAGGTGTTTGAGCTAGCAGAGAGAGTGGAGCTGGCGCAGAGAAAGTATGAGGTGTATCTGCCGAGGCCGACAAAGAGGAAGAATTCCGCATGGGCTGCAGCAATGATACCTGAGATAGGAGGGAGAGAAGAGAGCCGACAGGAGAGAGGAGCTGAGACACGCACCTGCCACCGATGCAAGCAACCAGGGCATTTGATGAGAAATTGTAGGAATTGCGACACCTGTGGGAAGCCAGGGCACAGACGAAAGGATTGTCCAGATGCACCGACCTATGAGGTATGTGGGAAGCGGGGGCATAAGGGGAAAGACTGCTACCAACAGACGGGAGGGCCAAGGAGGACGCCAGAGGAGATAGAAGGGTAGATCGGGAGATTGCAGGCACAGCTGCAGGCACTGGGGGGGGAAGAAGGAGAAGGAGGCAGGGTTATATGCAAGGGAAGAGGATGACGAAGCAGAGGTGATAGAGGAGCCGGAGCCTGAGTACAACTTCATGGTGCTACGCAGCCGAGAGGAGTTGGGCCTGCGTAGTGGGGGCAGGGATGGAAGAAAGGAACACATGGTTAAGGAGAGGAGCAGGCCAAAGCGAGCACAAGAGGAGAAGGGTGAAGGGGAAGAGGAGCCGGCCAGGCATCCCAGGAGCGGCTAGCCAGTCAAGCGACGGTGCTGGTAGCAGGAGCGGGGACAGTGGCAGTGGGAGGAGAAGTGGCAAGAACCGCGATCTTAGATACTGGGGCACAGAGTGTGATGCTGGGGAGGCGCCTGGCAGAGAAGCTGGGGTTGACCTGGCCAGGGCAGCACATAAAACGAGGAATGCTAGTCATGACAGCAGAGGGAGGTGAGCCCAAGTGGCTGCTGTGCACCAAGACACCAGTGGAGATAGTCCTGATGCCGGGGAGGGAGGAACAGACCAGTATAAGGCTGCAGTGTGGAATCTCGGACTCAGAAGATTTTGATGTACTGCTAGGCACGGACTTGATCTGGGGAGTGGGGATGACAATCTGCACGTGGAAGGAGAAGGTAAAGTTCCGGAAGCAGTATTGGGAGCGGGGGAGCAAGACGGGAGAACGGCCGGTATCCTTCACAAAGCAGGAGCCTAAGAGGGCATATACGGCTGAGCAGACAGGGACAAAGGAGAGAGGGAGAGCAAGACTCGTGGGCAAGGCAGCAGCGGTCAACGCGTGGCAGGAATCGATAAAGCTGGTAGAGCTGTTCGGGGGAATAGGAGCAGGGTTAGCAGCGGTACTCAGGGCAGGAGTGGCCGTGAGGGAATGGATATACGTGGAAAATAATGAACAGGTGAGGAAGATGGCAGAGAATCATGCGAGGAAGCTGCAACAAGAGTATCCAGAGCTACTGGATGAGGCAGTGATAGTGAAAGCAATGCAAAGGACATTGACTGACGTAAGAAGCATCACACGAGAGGTAGTGAGGAGCTGGGGGCATGTGGACCTGCTGGTGGCAGGATGGGAGTGCCAAGCCATGTCGAGGGCAGGGAAAGGTAAAGGATTGGGAGATCCAAGAGGGGCGCTGCTGGTGAATCTGCTGTGCATCATAGACTGGATCAAGAAAGGGCAAGAGAAGGTGGTGTACTTGCTGGAGCACCTAGACCTGGAAGGGGACTGCAGGGAGCCTGTCAGGAAATTTCGGGAGTTAGTGACAAGGAAGCTAGGGAAGGGAGTGAGATGTGACGCAGCCAGGCTGGGGGCACGAGCTCATCGTGTCAGACGATACTGGCAGAACGTCGTGTCAGATGAGCAACTGCAGCAGTAGCTGGATGGGATACGCAGGGACTGGAGCAAGACCGTGCGAGAGATTTTAGAGCCCGGCAGGATGGCGGCGCCAGTTAGGAAGGGCAGGCATGAGACACAATGCCCGTGCAACAAAGTGGGGGCAGAGCGCAGGGCATGGCCGACATTAGTGGGGTACGAAGGAGCAACTGGGTTCAGAGAGGAAGACGGGCTGCCAGGAGAAGGCATGGTGTACGACAGCAGGACAAAGAAATGGGAGGAGCCGACTGCGCTGGAAAGGGAATTGGCAATGGGGTACGGAGAGGAGGTAACAAATTCACCAGGGGTGATGGAAAAGGAAAGGAGGAGAGCATTAGGACAGGCCATGGATGGACAAGTCATGCAGTGGTTACTGCGGCGGATGTGGAGAGGGCTGGTGCTGGAAGCGGAAAAGGGACAAGGGTGTGAGGGGACAAGGGTGAAAAAGGTGGGGGCATGGGCATGCATGGCAGCCAAGGAAGAGCCGGTGTGGGTCGTGGGGAATGCAATGAGTGAGAAAGGAAAGGAGGCAATGCAAGAGGTTCTGGCAAGGTACAGGCACGCATTCACGTTCACCTTACAGGAGTTGGGGAAGTGTTCTGTGAAGGAGATGGAGTTGAAGCTGGTGACGGATGAGCCGGTGTTCCAGAGGAAGCGGAGGATGACACCTGGGGACGAGGATATTTGTAAGGAAAAGTGGAGGGAGCTGATGGAAGTGGGGCTGATACAGAGATCGGAGTCAGAGTATGCGACACCGACGGTGGTAGCTGCCCGAAAGGACCTGCTAGGGGAGGTGCTGAGCAGACGCATGTGCGAGGACTATAGAGCATTGAATAAGGTGACAGTGCCCGACAAGTACCCAATGCCCACAGCCGAAGACATCTTTGACCGACTGGGGGCAGGGGAGATCTTTAGCACACTGGACTTAAGACAGGGGTTTAACCAGATTAGGATAAGGAAAGAGGACGTGCGGAAGACGGCGTTCCATGGTGCAGATGGCTTGTACGAATGGCTATTCATGCCATTTGGGCTGAGAAACGCGTCAGCCATCTTCCAGAGAGTGATGGATAGCGTGCTGAGGGGACTGGAGTGTGCAGCGTGTTACATAGACGACGTAGTGATTTTCAGCAGGACTGAAGAGGAGCACGTGAGAGACGTGGAGCAGACACTGAAGGCGTTGGCAGCAGCGGGGCTGACATGCCATCCGAAGAAATGCAGGTGGGGAGAGGCAACCGTGCAGTACCTGGGGTATGAGGTCAGGGGCGGGCAGCTAGGGATCCAGCAGGCGAAGATTGAGGTGCTGAACAGGCTGCAGCAGCCGAAGGACAGGAGCGGACTAAGAGCGGTACTGGGATTCCTGAGCTATTACCGCATGTCCGTCCCGAATTTCAGCAAGCGGGCGTCACCATTGAACGGGCTGCTGAAGGAGGACAGGAAGTGGGAGTGGGGGACGGAGCAGGAAGCAGCATTGAAGGATCTGATGGAGGCGGTGCAGACGGCGAAAATTCTGCAGCTGCCCAAGGCAGACAAGCCCTTCTGCCTGTACACTGACTGGAGCAGCCAAGGTATGGGTGCAATCCTGTGTCAGGAATTGGACGGGGAGGAGAGGGTTGTGGCGTACGCAAGCAGGAGCTGCAGCCCAGCGGAAGCCAAGTACAGCTCTTACCACGGGGAGGGGTTGGCAGTTGTGTGGGCTGTAAAACAATTTAGGGTATACCTACAGGGGAGGGAGTTTACACTGATTACAGACCATCAGCCCCTGCAATGGCTGATGACACACCAAGGGCTGACGGGGAGGAACGCACGTTGGGCTGTGACGCTGCAGGAATACGACTTCAAGATACGCCACAGGCCGGGGAAGACTCTGCAGCACGTGGACGGGCTCTCAAGGAGCCCGCCGGCAGCAGAGCCAGTGCACGCGCTGATGTTGCTGGCTAGGCAAGGGGAAGAGGCAGCAGCACGGAAGCAAAAGGGGCCAAAGGACATTTGGGAATATCCAGCGGCGTTGCGATGGATTAAGGGAGAAACCGACGAGGATGAGCAGGTCTTTGACAGGGTGAGGGCAAGAGGGCACCATTACAGATGGTATAAGGGACAACTGCAGCTACAGTCAGTGGATGGGTGGAAGCTGGTACCTGCACCACAGGAAAGGGAGGGAGTGATTAAGGAGGTGCACAGGAAGCTGGGGCACTTTGGGCATGAGCGCACGTCGGAATTGTTGAAGACAGGCTGGTGGTGGGAAGGAATGAGAAGGGTGGTCAGAGAATGGGTCGGCAGATGCGAAGGGTGTCAGAGGAGCAAGGCCACCTTGACACAGGCAAAGCAGAAGCTGCAGTCACTGCCGATAAGGGGGCTAGGGTTCAGGTGGTCTCAAGACATAGATGGTGAGCTGCCACTGAGCAGGGGAGGCAAGCGGTACATACTGCTCATGGTGGAACACGCAAGCAAGTGGCTAGAGGTGTGTGCATTGCCGAGCAAGGATTCCAGGCACGTGGCAAAGGCATTCAAGGGACAGGTCCTGTGCAGGTTTGGGGCACCAGGGGAAGTGCTCACTGATCAAGGGACAGATCCAGAGGGGAATTTCAGACTCTGTTGACGAGGCAAGGGTGACACACAGGCTGACATCGAGATATCACCCGCAGAGCGACGGGTTGACTGAGCGCCTCGTACAGACGTTGAAGCGGAATTTGAGGGCGTATGGAGAGAAGCGCAAGAAAGACTGGGATGAAGAGTTGGACTGGATTGCAGCAGGGTACAGGTTCGGGAAGCAGGCCTCCCTGAAGGACTACTCCCCTTATAGCATGCTATTCGGGAAGGAGCCGATCCTGCCAGTA